CACCCACCCATATATTGCTGTCAGGTTGCAGCCAACTTATGGTGACCCCGTAGGGTTCTGAAGGCAAGAGACAAACCGAGTTGGTTTGCCATGGCCTGCCTCTATGTATGAACCTTGGACTTCCTTGGTGCTCTCCCATCCAAGTACTAACCAGGGCTAACCCCGCTTAGCTTCCAAGATCTGATTAGATTAAGCTAACCTGGGATATCCAGATCAGAGCAAGAGGCAAACAGAGGTGGTTTGCCATGGCCTGCCTCTGCGTAACAACCCTGGGACTTCCTTGGTGGTCTCCCATCCAAGTACTAACCATCCACGATCTGATGAGATCGGGCTATCCTGCGCTATAGGATCAGGGCATATACATACCGATACTCCCGTTTCCCTCCCCCATTTCAGTTGTTGAGAAAAAAAGAAAGAGTAATAACAGGGAGAGAGCAGATAACTTACCGCTTCTCCAGGTTTTCCGTTCTCTCCAGGTGGTCCAGGAGTTCCAGGCAGTCCCTAGAGGAAGACATCAGGTATTGCTTAATACACGGTTCCTTCCCATTTCAAAACAAAGAAGGATGGGATTTCTGTGCTATACAGAATCAGTCTATTATTCCAGTCGGTCCACTGCTATTTAATATGGCTAGTGGTGAGTCTCCATTCCATTTAATGACAGGTTTGTCTGTATTTTCTACTTGGCGCCTTTTAGATGCCAGGGATTAAAACTGGGATCCAAAACATAAGGGCTCTAACAATGGGCCGTGAACCTTTCTGTGTCAAGGTGTGAATATTCGGTGTCACAGGTAAGTCTTTGGCAGAGGGTTCATTAAGTTTATTCCAAAGAGTTTTTTTAGGATTTATTTTTGTTGGAGAAAAAAAGTGACACTGTAGTGAATTTTGGGAGCCCTACACAAGAAAAAAAAAGAGATCAGTACAAATTCTGAAGGAAATGAAAATCATTTTTACGCTTGGGGAAAATTGAGGGGGAAAGGCTGTACTCGCACATCTCTTATAAGTCACCAATATGACAAATGCTTGAAAATGATAATGCGCTTATCGATCTTCATGTGTGGTAATGCTTCTGGGTCGTTTGTTAGCCACAATGAATTATAGCTGAGTTTGAAAAGTTATTCTGCCCTTTCCGTAATAAATAAAGTTGTGGTCCTTTATTCTTCACACGTCTGTTTTGGCGCTCTTTATTCCAGGCCTAATTCAAGATTCCTAATTTATTCCAGGCCTAATTCAAGGTCCACTGGTGGACCTCCTGATGGCACCTGGTATTTTTGGCCACTGTGTGACACAGAGTGTTGGACTGGATGGGCCTTTGGCCTGATCCAACATTGGCGTCTCTTATGTTCTTATGTTCTTAAGATATCCGGCTGTCCTCCACCAGGGCCAGGACCTTTTTGGCCCTGGCCCCAACCTGGTGGAACTCTGCCAACTTCCGTCAGGGCCCTGATGCAATTCCACAGGGACTGCAAGCAATGCTTCGTCTAAGCTGATTTTTGTGAGCAAAAATTTTACTTTGTGAGCCACTGGCATTAAAGGTGTGAGCGAGCAATTTGGCTGCTGCATAAATACGTTTGCTCTGGACTGGCCCGTAGCTCACACAGGGCCCATGGGGGCCGGCCCCCCTAGTGTTTCTTCTGGGCCCCCTTCCTCCTGGGCTGCCCCCAAAGTGCTCCAACTTACCACCTGCACTCTACTTTCATTTAATTAGCTGGTGGGCCCCCTGAGGCCCCCTCCCCAAACAATTCCCTAGCTACAGGGCTGGTTCTGGAGCCCTCCTTCCTGAGCGAAGACCAAAAATGTGTGAGCCGGAGGCTGAAAAACTCTGAGCTAGCTCACAGTAACTCAGCTTAGATGGAACACTGCCTGCAAGGCAGAGATGTTCTGCCAGGCTTTGGTTGAGGACAGCGATGGTTCCGTCTCAGCTGGCGACCTTCTATGTTCTCTGCTGTTTACATCTACCTCGCCCTCTTCCCCCCGTCCGCAAAGTAGCTGGCAGTTGGAATTGGGATTGGCTAATGATCCATCATCTGATGGTCTGAAATATTTTATTAATGTTTTAACTGACTTTATCTTGCTTTCTTTATGGCTTTCGTACATCGCCTGGAGCCCTGCTGTGGCAGGGGTTAAGCAATTCATAAATAAATAAATGAACAGTAAAAGATGAAAGACAATATACCTGGAAACCAGGTGGGCCTACACCTCCGGGTTCCCCTCTCTCACCACCTGGACCCTGGAAGGAGAAAAAGAATGATCGTATTTTGCCATTACAACATGCTCGTATGTCTCATACGAGCTTGTCTGGTCCCATTATAACTCCTCCCTGCAGAATAAACCTCCCCCCTCAACAAAAAAAGAAGGGAAAACCAAATATAAAGATGGAAAACAAAAGTTAAAATGATATGATAACAATTCAGGACATATGTGTCCAAAACAAATTATTGTCTTTTAAAAAATGGAAAACAATTCATATTCCCTCTGAGCTCTTTCCAGAGTGTAGGCTCTGTCATGCCCTTGAAAGCACAGTTGCAAATTTTTAGCGTTTTAAAAAAGAGAAGAAGAAGAGATTGGATTTATACCCCGCCCTTCACTACCCAAGGGAGTCTCAGAGCGGCTTACAAACTCCTTTCCCTCCCCCTCCCCACAACAGACACCCTGTGAGGTAGGCGGGGCTGAGAGAGCTCTTGACAGAAACTGCTCTTTTATCAAGAACAGCTCTTATCAGAACTGTGGCTTGCCCAAGGTCATCCAGCCAGGTGCAAGTGGAGGAGTGGGGAATCAAACCCGGTTCTCCCAGATTAGAGTCCACACACTTAACCACTACACCAAACTGGCTCTGTTATTGCAACTGTTATTGCAGGCATTTTTGATGATCACTTGTCTCAGTTATTGCTTTTCATTGGGTCCAGCCAGGTGCAAGTGGAGGAGTGGGGAATCAAACCCGGTTCTCCCAGATTAGAGTCCACACACTTAACCACTACACCAAACTGGCTCTGTTATTGCAACTGTTATTGCAGGCATTTTTGATGATCACTTGTCTCAGTTATTGCTTTTCATTGGGTGGTGGTGGTGGGAAGTGCTATCCAGTCACAGCCAGTGACCCCTCATGGGGTTTTCAACCGGTTCTCCCAGATTAGGGCCCTTAACCCCTACAGCAAACTGGCTCTGTTATTCCAACGGTTATTGCAGGCATTTTTGATGATCACTTGTCTCAGTTATTGCTTTTCATTGGGGGGTGGTGGTGGGAAGTGCTGTCCTGTCACAGCCAGCTTATGGTGACCCCTCATGGGGTTTTCAAGGCAAGAGACATTCAGAGGTGGTTTGCCACTGTCTGCCTCTGTGTAGCAACCCAGGACTTCCTTGATTGTCTCCCATCCAAGTACCAACCACAGCTGACCCTGCTTAGCTTTCAAGATCTGACAAGGTCAGGCTAGCCTGGGATATCCAAGTCAAGGCAGATGAACAGAGGTGGTTTGTCATTGTCCACCTCTACCAGATGACCTTGGATATCTTTGGTCGTCCCCCATCCAAGTACTAACTAGGGTCGACCCTGCTTAGCTTCTGAGATCTGACAAGTTTGGGCTAGTTGGGGCTATCCAGGTCAGATTGTTTTATTAATTTAACCGATACAAGGTTGGAGTCTACAACTCCCTTCTAGTAAGTGGGGAGTCTTGTTCTGGTGGAAAAAGATTTGCTTCAGCAGAGGTAGCTTTCTTCAAAACAGTAAGACTTTTTTCAACAGGAAGAAGACGTCTCTAATTGTGGAAGGAAGGTGTTGGCACAACCCTATTTACAAACAAGTAGACTTCTTTTTTTTTAGAAAGTGTGTCTGTAACCTAGTACACATTATCTAGATTGCAGCTTATTTATATGGTTGACTTACGGCAGGTCCTGGTGGACCTTGAGCTCCTCCTTCACCGTCCTTTCCAGGTAGTCCCTGTTAAATGGTAAGAATAGCCGCTAGTTATGGGTCAACATAATCCTTATAGAGGTTTACAACTAGAAGGAGAAGGGGTGTGAACTTTCTGAAGGGATAGTTTCTACTCACCTGTCCACCAGGACTTCCAGGTGCTCCTCTTTCTCCATTTTTACCAGGTGAACCCTAAAGAGAAAAAAAGACATGGCAGGATTCAAATCTGAGAAATTCCTACCTCAGGCCCAGAAACTGTGAGGTAGGTCACGAGCACCATACTGAAGAAGACTAAGTCAAATAGCCCGTTATTAGCCCCATTCATGTGGGTAATATCTGCACAAGCAATGTTTCTTTCAATTACTGGAAGGACATGTTAGCCTATGTTGAAACGGTTGGCATACGCTGAACATTTTCAACTCATTGTGACTTTTTCCACAGACAAGTTAAAGAAGCCAAAAAAAAAAAAGGATATATTTTGTACATGATACTAACCTCACTACCTTTTGGACCGGGGAAACCCATCACACCTGGTTGACCTCGTGGGCCTGCTGGGCCTGGAGGTCCACTTCGCCCAGATTCTCCTGGAGAGCCCTAATGCAAATAAATGCAAATTAAAGACATTGAGACACATGGGGGGAAACCCCACAAAAGTCCACAGAGAACAATATGAAAAACCACAGGAACAATACTAATACGAGGGATTAAATAATAGACAATGACATCATGACTCTATCTTGTCATGATTGTACACATGTGTGAATATTTTTTTCAATCACAATGCTGTAAATCAGGGCTCCCCAACATTTTTTAACCTATGGGTACCTTTGGAATTATGACACAGGGTTTTGGGTGCAACTACAAAATGGATGCTGCAGGAGGAGGAGCCAACCACAAAATGGCTGCCACAGGAGGTGGAGATACACACACATAGGAAACCCAAGTGTGGGGTAGAAGAGAGGTAATAAAAACCACAGGAACAATACCAATACGATGGATTAAATAATGGACAATGACATCATGACTCTAGCTTGTCATGATTGTAAACATGTGTGAATATTTTTTTTCCAATCACAATGCTGTAAATCAGGGGTCTCCAACATTTTTGAACCTGTGGGTACCTTTGGAATTACGACACAGGGTTTTGGGTGCAACTACAAAATGGATGCTGCAGGAGGAGGAGCCAACCACAAAATGGCTGCCACAGGAGGTGGAGACACACACACATAGGAAGCCCAAGTGTGGGGTAGAAGAGAGGTAATTAAAAAAATACACTGTGAAAAAGGAATGAGAAAAAACAAAACCAACACTGTGGTGGCAGCTCCAACTGAAACGTTATTTTCATCTGCACAGCTAATCAGATCTCCAGTGGCCAATCACAAGCGCCATCGGGCAAGAGCACCCCATTGCCTCACCCACTTTCTAAAAACACTTTCCTAGGCACCAGGAAAATCATTGTTGAGCACCACAGCACCCACAGGGACCATGTTGGGGAACCCGGCTGTAAATAAACTTCCCTTTAATAATATTTGCTGTTTGCATGAATATTATATAAAGAGATTTGGCAGAGGCATCAACCAAACCAAACACCGAAAGCTTTGCTGGTGTAAATTTAAAGGAAGCCAATGTATCCAGTGAATCTGTATGTGCTACTGCATTTAAACCAGGGCAACTGACATTAAGGTCTACTCTACTGACAAAGCTGGCATTATTAAGCTATTTACATACGGAAGGGCCTGGTTTTCCATCTGATCCTGGGCTTCCTGGACTTCCGGTTAAGCCCTGCACGAGAAAAGAACGATAAGATGCACATCTTGTCAGGGAAGTAAGAACATAAGAACATAAGAGATGCCAATGTTGGATCAGGCCAAAGGCCCATCCAGTCTAACACTCTGTGTCACACAGTGGCCAGAAATACCAGTGCCATCAGGAGGTCCAGCAGTGGGGCCAGGACATTTGAAGCCCTCCCACTGTTGACCCCCCCAAGCACCAAGAAGACAGAGCATCACTTGCCCCAGAGCCCCTATCTATACCTTGTGGCTAATAGCCACTGATGGACCTCTGCTCCATATGCTGATCTAATTCCCTTTTGAAGCCGTCCATGCTTGTAGCCGCCACCACTTCCTGTGGCAGTGAATTCCAAGTGTTAATCACTCTTTGGGTGAAGAAGTACTTCCTTTTACCCGTTCTAACCCGACCACTCAGCAATTTCATGGAATGCCCACGAGTTCTTGTATTGTGAGAAAGGGAGAAAAGTACCTCTTTCTCTACCTGCTCTGTCCCATGCATAATCTTATAAACCTCAATCATGTCACCCCTCAGTTGTCATTTCTCCAAGCTAAAGAGCCCTAAGCGCCTTAACCTTTCCTCATAGGGAAAGTGTTCCAACCCTTTTATCATCCGAGTTGCCCTTTTCTGCACTTTTTCCAAAGCTATAATATCCTTTTTAAGGTGTCGTGACCAGAACTGTTGTTCTATTTCTTATAAGATAAAACATCAGTGTAGTAAGCACCTGTCCTATAAAACTGCAGTGAGTTCGGGATCAAATTTTCATGACACAGAGCTGGTATTGACAGACAAGTTGTTCATAGGAATAATCTCTGTACAGCAGCATTTGGACAACTGTGTTCGAATCGATAAATATGTTTTCCAAGAAATTGATCTGACATCTATCATTCAGCTGAGTCATGATATTACTTCTATCGATTCAATTTCTGCTTCCCATCAACTGTCTGACTCTTCCTCCAGTTTTTGTTTGGTCAATACTTAGATTAAGACCTTTTATATAATGACCTTGATGGTTTCTACTTATTTTTAAAGACTGAGAAATTTGATATCCCATCTTTTGTGAAGGACAAAACTATACAAATATTAAATATTAAGGCTTACTTCATTCAAGAAAATCAGATAAAGCAGAAAATGTTATGGTAGCGATTTACAGTTCTTAAATTAAATGGAGAGTGAGTAGGGTCAAACACCGATTATGGAAAAATCAGGGTAAATGAATGAAAAACATCCCAGTATATATATAATCTTTGAGAATCTAACAAGAACAGCAGTTATATTGCTGGATTTTCATAGACTGGTAGAAAATCCTCTAAGAAGGAGCTCAGAACTTTCCAAAGGTATCTGAGAATGCCACTTGTAGCTGCTACAATCAAATATTACAGATTAGTGAAACCCATTTTGATCATCTTGTATCTTAGCATTTGAACTCAGTTGGTCATCTTGTATCTTGGCATTTAGATTCAGTTCCTACAGTAGATAAACCATCCCTAACAAAGATCAGAGAATGTTCCTTTCTGCCTAGAAGAAATGTCACAGACCATCAGCCCACTGAGGTCAGTATTGTTTATTTATTCAAGTATTTATTCATTTATATATTCGACTTACTATACCGCCCTAACCCCGAAGGGTCTCTGGGCGGTTTACATAGAGGGTTCTAGGAACACTTTCCCCCTTACTAGGGCCACATGGTACATGGTATTGTCTTGTCAGACTGGTCGTAGTATCAGGTAGAGGTCTTTCACATCACTTACTACCTGGTCCTTTGAACTGGACATGCTGGGGACTAAACCTGGGACCTTCCGCATGCAAAACAGAGGCTCTACCACTGAGCCATCATCCTTCCTAAATGTTTTTGCCTTATATTGAATCATAGGTCCATCAAGATCAGTATTGTCTACTCAGACTGGCAGTGGCTCTCTAGAGTTTCAGGCAGAGGTATTTCACGTCAGCTACTCCTAAATGGAGATGCTAGAGGTTGAACTTGGGACCTTCTGCGTGTTAAGAAGAGGCTCTACCCAGTCTGAGCCACAGCCCCTCCCAATAGTCCATCAGTCCATCAAGGTCATTATTGCCTACTCAGACTGGCAGCAGCTCTCCACGGACCCAGGCAGAGGTCTTTCACATCACCGTCTGTCGGGTCCTTTTAACTGGAGATGCCAGACATAGAACCTGGGGCCTTCTGCACGCACATCAGAGGCCCTTCCACCGACCCACAGCCTCTCTCCTGCTTATTGTCTACTTACTCTCATTCCTGGAAGCCCTGGAGATCCATCACGTCCGGGTTCACCAGGACTTCCTCTTTGTCCCGCACTGCCGGGGCCACCTCGTTCACCAGGGGCACCCTTCAATGACATTGAAACAGGGTTATTAATGAAACATGGCAACATAATTCATTCTACAATCTGAAACGAACAGCCATAAACATGAAATTTATATCTAGAAGGGAGGGCTGTACCTTTTCACCCGGAGCCCCATTCCTACCAGCAGGACCGCTAAAACCTGGAACACCCTGAAAAAAACAAACAAAAACAGGACTTTCAATTTTGTGGATGGAAAATAGCAAAGAACAGGTCTGGAATTATTTCCAAACTATCTGCTGAACTACTAAGAAACGTGCCACGTTCCATCTAAGTGGGAAAGTCAAAATGCATTTTGAATCTCTTTTTTTTTCATTTTTTTTTATCAACTCTTTTTATTGTTTTGTAAAATACATTACAAATAATACAAACCTATCGGTCCAAGATTTCAACATATGAATTGTGTATTGTACAAATCGTGAATAAGCCACTTTGGATCCCCATGTAGAGAAAGGTGAATACCTGAAGTTGACTTATCCTGAATTGGACCATATGTCTATCAAGGTCAGTATTGTCTATGTGGGCTGGCAGAACTCTCCAGGGCCTCAGGCAGAGGTCTTTCGCATCCCCTATACCCTGATTCGTTTCAACTGGAGATACCAGGGATTGAACCTAGCAGATATTCTACCCCTGAGCCAATCCTGATATAATCCAGGAATAAAGTGTAAGACTGAAGAATTAAGGGACGATTTCACTTTTCTGCTCTCCTTCTGTTACAGACATTCCCTCATGAGGAAAAGCCTTAGCTGATTTCATTCCCCAGAATTCACCGTGTTCTGAATAGCCCCATTGGCTCTGATATATCTAAGGCTGGTCATGATGAAAATCCCCTCGGAATTCTGCCATAGCATAGTAGCTGACAAAATGGCTCATGTAGGGTCCCCATGTAGAGAAAGGTGAATACCCGAAGTTGACTTATCCTGAATTGGACCATAGGTCTATCAAGGTCAGTATTGTCTATGTGGGCTGGCAGAACTCTCCAGGGCCTCAGGCAGAGGTCTTTCGCATCCCCTATACCCTGATTCATTTCAACTGGAGATACCAGGGATTGAACCTAGCAGATATTCTACCCCTGAGCCAATCCTGATATAATCCAGGAATAAAGTGCAAGACTGAAGAATTAAGGGACTATTTCACTTTTCTGCTCTCCTTCTTATACAGACATTCCCTCATGAGGAAAATCCTTAGCTGATTTCATTCTCCTGAATTCACAGTGTTCTGAATAGCCCCATTGGCTAGCCTGGTCATGATGAAACTCCCCTTGGAATTCTGCCATAGCATAGTGGCTGACAAAATGGCTGCTACAAAATGGCTGCTGTGGGAGGTGATCCCAGCCACAAAAGAAGAACATAAGAGAAGCCATGTTGGATCAGGCCAATGGCCCATCCAGTCCAACACTCTGTGTCACACAATGACCAAAACCAAAGTGTCACCAGAAGGTCCACCAGTGGGGCCAGAAAAATGATCGCCACAGCTTAACTTCAATGACAGTGTATATCCTCGCACTATGGGGCACCTGCCGGCAAAGTAGCGTTTGTATAAATCTGCACAGTCAATCAGTTCTACAATGGTCAATCTCAGAACCCTTGTTGGGCAGAAGTCCCACCTGGTCCTACCACACTTTTTGGGAAAAACTGGGCAGGTGCCAAGAAAGGTGTTGGTGTGCACCATGATGCCCGTGGGCAATATGTTGGGGACCCCAGTCTATAGGATTGATGACTACTTGCCCTATCTCCTGGATTTCCAGGCAAACCATTTGTGCCAGGTTGGCCAGGGGCTCCCGCCTTGCCTTCTTCTCCTGGAGGACCAGCTGCACCGGGAGTACCGTTTTCACCCTGATAAAATGATACAATAAAATATTATTAAAGCATGAATTGCAGATTAAAACCTACCAGGGCTGCATAGGTAAATACTTACACGCTCGCCTCTTGGTCCTGCTTCTCCTTTGGCGCCGTTCTTACCGGGCTCGCCCTAAAGATGAAGAGAGCACCATTACAATGGTCCTAGCAGGTTCATCCAAAAGGAATAGCACAGCAAGATGGATCATGGGGCCCTCCTCTGTTTCCCATCATGCTTGCATTTGATTAAAATCTAATGGGAGAACTTTGCCTTTAGGAACTTTGAGGATTAATGGCTGGTTCCCATGTGTATGTTCATCCCTTGATTGCAGAGGAAAGCCGGGCTTTGCAAGTGAGCTTGAGTCATCAGAGATAAAACGCTACAGGGACAGTATTTACAGTCCCATAGCTACAGTGGGGCATTCTGGGGCCCGCCCCCTGACTTCCTGCTAAGGCCCCCTGACCTCCATCTAGCCCAGCCACCCTGCTGCCCTCGCCACCCATTCCCCAAGTGTGGCTTGCTTCCCCGCCCCCTCACCCTGTTACAGCCAGAGCCCCTTGCCCTGCCAAGGGAGGCCTTCATGGAGCCTGCTTCATGCCTGCTCCAACTGCTCCTGCTTGCTCCAACTGGCAAGCATGAGTTTTAAAATTTTTATTTGTATTTTTTTTTTGTGATGTCAGTTCCCCCCGATTTATGTAAAGGCCCCCTGAATTACAAAATCCCGGCTAAGGGCCTGAATGCTCATATCATCTCACAGTAATCTCAAATGCAGTGTTTGCCAGTAGTCAGTTCTGTGCGGTTCCAAGTTTTCAAGGCACATGTCAGGTCTTGGGCAGGGCTTTTTTTCTGGGGGAACGCACTGGAATGGAGTTCCGGAACCTCTTCCACAAAATTATTTTAAAAGTGTTTAAAAGTTCATGAGTTTTTTCAGTATACAGACTGAGAACTTCATTTCCCTCTTGAGAGTTCCAGCAGCTCTTTTTCAAAAAGGAAAACAAAACAAAACCCTGATCTTGGGTAAGCAAGGAAAGAGAACTCAAATGATGTTCATATGAACGGGGACAAGAGAGATCTAAGCCACTGAATTTCCTTTCCCTGTAACTTAACAGCCTACAAGCCATATGCCGGAATATATTACAAGCGCTTTGTAACTGCATAGATACATATGGTTAAGCCACATGTGCAATTTTTTACGTCGCTTGACAATAATATTTTTAGTTTCTGTAGATGATCAGTCCATGGAGTAATAATTGATTACAAAGTAAATATAACGGGGGCAACTAAAAAGGATATCGGCGATTGAGTCAACTTGATCCTTACAATAAGTACAAAAGTGTTTCTCAGGAGGGGTTCTGCTGAAGTGGCACTGCACCTCAGTGGAAGGTAGCACATTGCACTTAAGTCATAGGAAAGAGCGACGA